GGAACATTTAAACTCTGTAAGAGGGACGCAGCATTTAAACACACAGGTAACAAGTAAATAGCATGATGACATGGACAACCATTCACAAGCAAACTATTTGAAAGTGTCTAGGGGTCATCTATAAGTAATACCACACGACATGAGAGAAATGGAGAGACACATTGAGAGCATCATGGAAGTGTAAAGAAGGGTCTTTCCCTGAATGACGGGGAAGCAGAGGAGGGTCTCAGCTGAGGTCTGATATGCTCTGTCCAGTTGTCCCTCAAACAGGCCTGCAGGTGCCATCAACCAGCCTACATACCATCTGTGAATGAAACAGAGAGAGACCCAACCAAATCATGAGAAAACAAAAAGATAATTACTTGACACATTGGAAATAATTTTTTAAAAAAACAGCAAACTAGAATGCTATTTGGCCCTAAACAGAGAGTACACAGTGGCAGAATACCTGACCACTGTGACTGACCCAAACTTAAGGAAATCTTTGACTATGTACAGACTCAGTGAGCATAGCCTTGCTATTGAGAAAGGCAGCCGTAGGCAGACCTGGCTCTCAAGAGAAGACAGGCTATGTGCACACTGCCCACAAAATGAGGTGGAAACTGAGCTGCACTTCCTCACCTCCTGCCAAATGTATGACCATTTTAGAGCCACATATTTCCCTCAGATTACACACCCACAAAGAAAACAAATCCAATTTTGATAAACTCCCATTTCTATTGGGTGAAATACCACAGTGTGCCATCACAGCAGCAAGATGTGTGACCTGTTGCCCCAAGAAAAGGGCAACCAGTGAAGAACAAACACCATTGTAAATACAACCCAAATGTATGTTTATTTATTTTCCCTTTTGTACTTTAACTATTTGCACATCGTTACAAAACTGTATATAGACATAATATGACATTTGAAATGTCTTTATTCCTTTGGAACTTTTGTGAGTGTAATGTTTACTGTTCATTTTTTTATTGTTTATTTCTCTTTAGTTTATTATCTATTTCATTTGCTTTGGCAATGTTAACAAATGTTTCCCATGCCAATAAAGCCCCTTTGAATTGAATTGAGAGAGATAGTTAACTGTTGAGCATTCAATTTCGAATAGTATAAAACGGTTCTACAGTCAGATTGTTCAGCAGGGTTAGAGAGGTAGGCATATGTACAGTAGGCCTCCTGTAGCTCAGTTGATAGAGCATGGCGCTTGCAACGCCAGGGTTGTGGGTTCGATTCCCACGGGGGGCCAGTATGAAAAATGTATGCACTCACTAACTGTAAGTCGCTCTGGATAAGAGCGTCTGCTAAATGACAAAAATGAAAAATATACAGTCATGGGGATTATTGCTTCTCATCAGGGTGTTGTAGGAGGCGGTAGTGCAGGACCTTAATAATAATAATAATAATAATAATAATATAATATACCTTCTCATCAGGGTGTTGTAGGAGGTGGTAGGGCAGGACCTTCTTATCAGGGTGTTGTAGGAGGTGGTAGGACAGGACCTTCTCATCAGGGTGTTGTAGGAGGTGGTAGGACAGGACCTTCTCATCAGGGTGTTGTAGGAGGTGGTTAGGACAGGACCCTTCTCATCAGAGTGTTGTAGGAGGCGGTGGTTATTAGTGCAGGACACTTCTCATCAGGGTGTTGTAGGAGGTGCTAGAACAGGACCTTCTCATCAGGGTGTTGTAGGAGGCGGTAGTGCAGGACCGTCTCATCAGGGTGTTGTACGAGGCGGTAGGACAGGACCTTCTCATCAGGGTGTTGTAAGAGGTGCTAGTGCAGGACCTTCTCATCAGGGTGTTGTAGGAGGTGGTAGGACAGGACCTTCTCATCAGGGTGTTGTAGGAGGTGGTAATGCAGGACCTTCTCATCAGGGTGTTGTAGGAGGTGGTAGTGCAGGACCTTCTCATCAGGGTGTTGTAGGAGGTGGTAATGCAGGACCTTCTCATCAGGGTGTTGTAAGAGGCGGTAGGACAGGACCTTCTCATCAGGGTGTTGTAGGAGGTGGTAGTGCAGGACCTTCTCATCAGAGTGTTGTAGGAGGTGGTAGTGCAGGACCTTCTCATCAGGGTGTTGTAGGAGGCGGGTTAGGACAGGACCTTTCATCAGGGGTTGTAGGAGGTGGTAGTGCAGGACCTTCTCATCAGGGTGTTGTAGGAGGCGGGGTTAGGACAGGACCTTCTCATCAGGGTGTTGTAGGAGGTGGTAGGACCTTCTCATCAGGGTGTGTTGTAGGAGGCGGGTAGTGCAGGACCTTCTCATCAGGGTGTTGTAGGAGGTGGTAGGGCAGGACCTTCTCATCAGGGTGTTGTAGGAGGGTGGTAGTGCAGGACCTTCTCATCAGGGTGTTGTAGGAGGCGGTAGGACAGGACCTTCTCATCAGGGTGTTGTAGGAGGCAGTAGTGCAGGACCTTCTCATCAGGGTGTTGTAGGAGGTGGTAGTGCAGGACCTTCTCATCAGGGTGTTGTAGGAGGTGGTAGTGCAGGACCTTCTCATCAGGGTGTTGTAGGAGGCGGTAGGACAGGACCTTCTCATCAGGGTGTTGTAGGAGGTGGTAGGACCTTCTCATCAGGGTGTTGTAGGAGGCGGTAGTGCAGGACCTTCTCATCAGGGTGTTGTAGGAGGTGGTAGGGCAGGACCTTCTCATCAGGGTGTTGTAGGAGGTGGTAGTGCAGGACCTTCTCATCAGGGTGTTGTAGGAGGCGGTAGGACAGGACCTTCTCATCAGGGTGTTGTAGGAGGCAGTAGTGCAGGACCTTCTCATCAGGTGTTGTAGGAGGTGGTAGTGCAGGACCTTTCATCAGGGTGTTGTAGGAGGTGGTAGGACAGGACCTTCTCATCAGGGTGTTGTAGGAGGTGGTAGGATCTTTTCATAAAGGTGTTGTAGGAGGTGCTAGAACAGGACCTTCTCATCCGGTGTTGTAGGAGGTTGTAGGACAGGACCTTCTCATCAGAGTGTTGTAGGAGGTGGTAATGCAGGACCTTCTCATCAGGATGTTGTAGGAGGTGGTAATGCAGGACCTTCTCATCAGGGTTTTGTAGGAGGTGGTTAGGACAGGACCTTCTCACCAGGGTGTTGTAGGAGGCGGTGTAGGACAGGACCTTCTCATTTGGGGTGTTGTAGGAGGTGGTAATGCAGGACCTTCTCATCAGGGTGTTGTAGGAGGGTGGTTAGGACCTTCTCATCAGGGTGTTGTAGGAGGCGGTTAGGACAGGACCTTCTCATCAGGGTGTTGTAGGAGGTGGTAGTGCAGGACCTTCTCATCAGGGTGTTGTAGGGGGTGGTAGGACCTTCTCATCAGGGTGTTGTAGGAGGCGGTAGGACCTTCTCATCAGGGTGTTGTAGGAGATGGTAGTGCAGGACCTTCTCATCAGGGTGTTGTAGGAGGTGGTAGGACAGGACCTTCTCATCAGGGTGTTGTAGGAGGTGGTAGTGCAGGACCTTCTCATCAGGGTGTTGTAGGAGGTGGTAGTGCAGGACCTTCTCATCAGGGTGTTGTAGGAGTTGGTAGTGCAGGACCTTCTCATCAGGGTGTTGTAGGAGGTGGGTAGGACAGGACCTTCTCATCAGGGTGTTGTAGGAGGTTGGTAATGCAGGACCTTCTCATCAGGGTGTTGTAGGAGGTGGTAGGTAATGCAGGACCTTCTCATCAGGGTGTTGTATGAGGCGGGGTAATGCAGGGTCTTCTCATCAGGGTGTTGTAGGAGGTGGTAATGCAGGACCTTCTCATCAGGGTGTTGTAGGAGGTGGTAGTGCAGGACGTTCTCATCAGGGTGTTGTAGGAGGTGGTAGGACCTTTCATCAGGGTGTTGTAGGAGGGGGTTTAGTGCAGGACCTTTCATCAGGGTGTTTGTAGGGAGGTGGTAGGGCAGGGACCTTCTCATCAGGGTGTTGTAGGAAGTGGTAGTGCAGGACCTTCTCATCAGGGTGTTGTAGGAGGTGGGTAGTGCAGGACCTTCTCATCAGGGTGTTGTAGGAGGTGGTAGTGCAGGACCTTCTCATCAGGGTGTTGTAGGGGGTGGTAGTGCAGGACCTTCTCATCAGGGTGTTGTAGGAGGTGGTAGGACAGGACCTTCTCATCAGGGTGTTGTAGGAGGTGGTAGGATCTTCTCATAAAGGTGTTGTAGGAGGTGCTAGAACAGGACCTTCTCATCCGGTGTTGTAGGAGGTTGTAGGACAGGACCTTCTCATCAGAGTGTTGTAGGAGGTGGTAATGCAGGACCTTCTCATCAGGATGTTGTAGGAGGTGGTAATGCAGGACCTTCTCATCAGGGTTTTGTAGGAGGTGGTAGGACAGGACCTTCTCACCAGGGTGTTGTAGGAGGCGGTAGGACAGGACCTTCTCATTTGGGTGTTGTAGGAGGTGGTAATGCAGGACCTTCTCATCAGGATGTTGTAGGAGGTGGTAATGCAGGACCTTCTCATCAGGGTTTTGTAGGAGGTGGTAGGACAGGACCTTCTCACCAGGGTGTTGTAGGAGGCGGTAGGACAGGACCTTCTCATTTGGGTGTTGTAGGAGGTGGTAATGCAGGACCTTCTCATCAGGGTGTTGTAGGAGGTGGTAGGACCTTCTCATCAGGGTGTTGTAGGAGGCGGTAGGACAGGACCTTCTCATCAGGGTGTTGTAGGAGGTGGTAGTGCAGGACCTTCTCATCAGGGTGTTGTAGGGGGTGGTAGGACCTTCTCATCAGGGTGTTGTAGGAGGCGGTAGGACCTTCTCATCAGGGTGTTGTAGGAGATGGTAGTGCAGGACCTTCTCATCAGGGTGTTGTAGGAGGTGGTAGGACAGGACCTTCTCATCAGGGTGTTGTAGGAGGTGGTAGTGCAGGACCTTCTCATCAGGGTGTTGTAGGAGGGTGGTAGTGCAGGACCTTCTCATCAGGGTGTTGTAGGAGTTGGTAGTGCAGGACCTTCTCATCAGGGTGTTGTAGGAGGTGGTAGTGCAGGACCTTCTCATCAGGGTGTTGTAGGAGGTGGTAGGACAGGACCTTCTCATCAGGGTGTTGTAGGAGGTGGTAGGATCTTCTCATAAAGGTGTTGTAGGAGGTGCTAGAACAGGACCTTCTCATCCGGTGTTGTAGGAGGTTGTAGGACAGGACCTTCTCATCAGAGTGTTGTAGGAGGTGGTAATGCAGGACCTTCTCATCAGGATGTTTGTAGGAGGTGGTAATGCAGGACCTTCTCATCAGGGTTTGTAGGAGGTGGTAGGACAGGACCTTCTCACCAGGGGTGTTGTAGGAGGCGGTAGGACAGGACCTTCTCATTTGGGTGTTGTAGGAGGTGGTAATGCAGGACCTTCTCATCAGGATGTTGTAGGAGGTGGTAGGACCTTCTCATCAGGGTGTTGTAGGAGGCGGTAGGACAGGACCTTCTCATCAGGGTGTTGTAGGAGGTGGTAGGACCTTCTCATCAGGGTGTTGTAGGAGGCGGTAGGACCTTCTCATCAGGGTGTTGTAGGAGATGGTAGTGCAGGACCTTCTCATCAGGGTGTTGTAGGAGGTGGTAGGACAGGACCTTCTCATCAGGGTGTTGTAGGAGGTGGTAGTGCAGGACCTTCTCATCAGGGTGTTGTAGGAGTTGGTAGTGCAGGACCTTCTCATCAGGGTGTTGTAGGAGGTGGTAGGACAGGACCTTCTCATCAGGGTGTTGTAGGAGGTGGTAATGCAGGACCTTCTCATCAGGGTGTTGTAGGAGGTGGTAATGCAGGACCTTCTCATCAGGGTGTTGTATGAGGCGGTAATGCAGGGTCTTCTCATCAGGGTGTTGTAGGAGGTGGTAATGCAGGACCTTCTCATCAGGGTGTTGTAAGAGGTGGTAATGCAGGACGTTCTCATCAGGGTGTTGTAGGAGGTGGTATGACCTTCTCATCAGGGTGTTGTAGGAGGTTGTAAGACCTTCTCATCAGGGTGTTGTAGGAGGTGGTAGTGCAGGACCTTCTCATCCGGGTGTTGTAGGAGGTGGTAGTGCAGGACCTTCTCATCCGGGTGTTGTAGGAGGTGGTAGTGCAGGACCTTCTCATCCGGGTGTTGTAGGAGGTGGTAGGATAGGACCTTCTCATCAGGGTGTTGTAGGAGGTGTGGGTAGGACAGGAAGGACCTTCTCATCAGGGTGTTGTAAGAGGCGGTAGTGCAGGACCTTCTCATCAGGGTGTTGTAGGAGGTGGTAGGACAGGACCTTCTCATCAGGGTGTTGTAGGAGGTGGTAGTGCAGGACCTTCTCATCAGGGTGTTTTAGGAGGTGGTAGGACAGGACCTTCTCATCAGGGTGTTGTAGGAGGCGGTAGTGCAGGACCTTCTCATCAGGGTGTTGTAGGAGGTGGTAGGACCTTCTCATCAGGGTGTTGTAGGAGGTGGTAGTGCAGGACCTTCTCATCAGGGTGTTGTAGGAGGTGATAGGACCTTCTCATCAGGGTGTTGTAGGAGCTGGTAGTGCAGGACCTTGAGAGCATAATGTCCACTGGATAGGGCTGAGTGACTGAACTGTGTGTGTGTGTGTGTGTGTGTGTGTGTGTGTGTGTGTGTGTGTGTGTGTTTGCGCGTGCAAGAGAGAGAGTGTGTGTGTGTGTGGGGGGGGGGGGGGGGGATCAGCAACCAAGTAATATTTGACTGGTTCCGTATCATTTATCATCAACGCCCCCACAGGGGGTATGTGCTAGTGATGGGTCATGCGCACAAGCATCGGCTCTGAGAGCCGGCTCTTTGTAGTGAATCAGAAGAGCCGGCTCGCATCGAGTGAGAGCCGGCTCCCAGTTTTTTGCCCATTCGCTGCTTAGGTTTCACTTTCACAGAGGTCTGTTATGATTGGCCAGCATGGCGACCAGCATGCGGCATTCACGTGAGAATTAAGGATGTGTAAACAGAGAGGGGGCGGGGCAGACACACCACTTGACTCCACTGCAAGTGAAGAGAGAGACAGAGCGGACTGAGGAGCGTGTGTGCGTCTTGCATTGTCGTGTCGTTTAACTATGAGTGACACTAGAAAGCGAAGCAGCATCTGGCTGCAGTTTAAAGATATTGGGAACAAGAAAGCAGAGTGCCTTCACTGCAAAACGAAGGTCACTATAAGAGCAGGTTCCACCACAAACCTGCATAGACATACAAGAACTGTCCATCCTACAGTGCAGTTAGAGGAGAGAGGGCAAGCCAGCTCACCATCTACTGATCCTGGTGTGTCTCATACCAGAACAACAGCTGCTGTAACGTCTACTGCCATCCCCATGCGTGCAAGTATAACCTCTCCTACTGCAACTCAAAGCAAAATAAGTCAGTTTTTACCTAAACTGATGACCCCAGCCAAACAGCACAGTATTGATGATGAGTTGGCTAAAATGGTAGCTTCTGATTTTCAACCCTTTGCAGCTGGTGACAGCCGAGAACCAATGGACAGTAACTGTGCAGAAAGTGAAGGAATTAGTTGCAGCTCTTTGTTCAGCCATGGACCGCAAATTTCTGCGGATGGAGTACAACACTGTCCTTTCAGAAACTACCTTATTGGATCCAAGGTTTAAAAAACTTGCCTTCAGTGATCGTAGAGCTGTTGATGAAGCTCTTCAGAGGATTAGTGCAGCAGCAGCAGCAAAATGCACCCCCAGCAGCCAGCCAGCTCCACCATTACAGGGCCAAGTGGAGGAGGAGCAGCAAACCTCTGCTGTTTGGAGGCTTTTTGATGACAGAGCTACAGGAGATGCTTCAAGGAGAAATCCGACAGCTGATGCTATAATGGAGGTGAGGAGCTACCTTGAGGAGCCCCTCATCCAGAGAGCAGAAGACCCACTGAGCTGGTGGCAGGCCAAGGCCTCAGTCTTTCCACTCCTGGTGAAGGTGATGGAGGGGGAGACTATGTATTGTTGCCACATCAGTTCCTTCTGAGAGAATCTTCTCCAAAACAGGGCAGATACTCACGGAGAGGCGAAATCGTATCAGGCCTATCAGCCCATCCAAGCTGAGGCATCTGATCTTCCTGAATGCCAACCTGCCCTGAGGACTAATGCTGTTTGCTGGAGTTTGGTTCTGGTTTTGATTCTGTTCTGTGGATTTGTTTGAAGTTTATTGTTAATTTGTGCAATAAAAAAGTTTAATTGAAATAAACAAATGTAAGAGTGGTTTTGTCACAGAATAAATGCACAGAATTAGGCATTATAAGGTCTCTCATAAAAACACTGAAAGCAAAAGGGTTTTCAACACATAAACCATGATTTTTTTTTCAAAGTTAAGGTAAAATATAGGCTACAAAAGATCCTAAATAAAGAGCCGTTCGGGAGTCGAAAGAGCCGGCTCTTCTTTGGGAGCCGAGTCAAAAGAGCCGGCTCTCAGAAAAGAGCCGAACTTCCCATCATTAGTATGTGCAGATGTAGAGAGAGAGAGACAGTTAACTGTTGATTTGTGAATGTTAATTTCACTTGCTTTGGCAATGTTAATATATGTTTCCCATGCCAAATAAGCCCCTTTTAATTGAATTGAGGGAGATAATCACTTTTGAGCATTCAATTTAGCATAGTGTAAAACTGTGCCCCCGCACATTGACTCTGTACCCCCTGTATATAGCCTCGTTACTGTTATTTTATTGTTGCTCTTTAATTATTAGTTTTTTTTTCAAATTTTTTCTTTTTCTTTCTTTATTGTTTACTTCAGTTTATTTAATAAATACTTTCTTAACACTTATTTTTTTACCTAAAACCGCATTGTTGGTTAAGGGCTTGTAAGTGAGAATTTCACTGTACGGTCTACACCGGTTGTATTCGACGCATGTGACAAATAAAATGTGATTTGATTTTATCTCAATTTTATCATTTTCTCACAGCAGGAAAATAATCCTACAGCAACAGGAAATGTGAATTATTGTGTGGATTACAATAATTTGACATTTTTGTACAGGTTGATACATTTTTTGTTTGGGCAAATCAGGTCAAACATTTTAAAGTGGAAATTATAAAGTTTAGATACCTTTTTAAACAACAACAAGGTGATCAAATTAAGATCCTACTCCCGTATACATTCAGAGAAGTAGGCCAATTGTTGCAACAATAGTCGTGTTCACAACTGAAGAGTCTTCCTTTCAGTGAGCATTAAGGGATGTTGGTGACGTATACTCATACCAATAAAAAGCCTTATTTTAACTTCCTGTGTTGGCTGATGTAACTACATGAAGTTCATGATGATCAGCTGAGATGCCATACTGTTCTTTTCTCCTGCGGGAACATTCAGAACTCACACACACACCGAGACACAAACATACACATCAGCACTGACTATAGCATAATTAGATATTGTTGTTTGTGTAAGTAATACAGATGTAAGATCTTAATTTGATCACTCTTTTGTTGCTGAGAATTGTCCTGCACAGCAGGAAACACAAACTTGTAGTGTATTCAAAGTTTTTAAAATGCTTTAAAAGTTTGTAATTACCCACTTTATAATGCCAGACTTGATTTGCCCTAACGAAAAAAAATTCAAACCTTACAAAAAGTGTCCATTAATTGTTGCTGCAGGATTATTTTCCTGCTGTAGCAAACTGGCTCAAATTAAGATCCTACATCTGTAGCTAAATTAGCTATGCAAAGTGCCAGATAGGTAACCATTTACAGTAACTGCTGTTCATTATTACTCTGTCAATAAACACTATCAGCTGACAGAAGATCTAGCTAAATTAGCTCCAGAAAGAAATTGAGAAAACTGACTTTTCTCAAGCAGGTAGTAGCTCTGGCTGGGCAGCTTACTCTTGTAGCAGGTTGAGGGACTAATTTACTTCCACTAGATACTACTAGCTAGCATAACTATAGCCAGTAACCAGGTAGGGCTAGCTAGCTAGCTAGCCAGCCTGCTAAGTAGTCAGTAGCTAGCTAGCCAGCTAATGCAAGCCAACTTTGTTCAGTTGTTGAGTTTGTTATATTGGCATACTAACTTCAAAATAAGTTCTACAACTTAACTAACATGAGTAGTTTGATCTTCCTGTCACACTCACACAGCCGAAACCTTTCTTTGTGCTGCCAACCTAGGCTGTAAACACACACTCCTAAACTCCGTCAATATTCTACGCGGGGGCGTGTACTTCCTGGTATGAACTAAACGAAAATAGAAATTGAATAAATGTTGTTATTTGTTTTCAATTCTTTCCTGTCTAATTTTGACAACATAAATGACAAAACAAGTCGATTTCCGATGTTCGTTTTTGACTCTGACTCGGAAATCAAAGTTACGAAATGTACACAGAAGCAACGCGAAGCAGCAGTTCAGGCAATCTTGAAAGTCAGTACAATACTTGGCAAATAAATAAATAAATAAATAAATAAATATATATATATATATATATATATATATATATATATATATATATATATATATATATATATATATATATATATATATATATTTGAAAAAATTGATTTGACAAGCAGTAGACATTTAGAATTAAATGTGGAGTGGAACTATATAGTTAAGCCGAAACATCACGTGCCCATCATACTTTCCGTTTCCATTAGGCTAAAAATCTCTGAAAGTTTTTTTTTTCCCGACATTGTCGAATAAACTTCGGTCAATGGAAACCTGCCTAGGCTTCTTCTGTATTCTCATCACGCAGCGTGGTTTCTCTTTCCCTCAAGTCTCCGCCCCATTACAAAAGTACACATCAAACTCTCCAGATCTGCCACAAGCAAATATAGCCAACGGAACATTTCAGTGTCGTTGGATTACACAGAAAATCTCTTGGGCAACATGCAATCTACGGTGTTTACTATATTGTTAGTCAAACTATTATGCTTAACTTTACATGGAATGACAGGTCAGTACTTCTCTTTTGACCTTACCAAAGCATAGTCTACCATCGTGCTGTCAATCGATTGGCTTTGATTGTAGATGTATGTTTAAAGCCATTCAATAATACGACTCAGTGTTTGGGTTACGAAAGCCTTTTGTTGACATTCCTTTATAATTTCACAGTCTTTTTATAGGCTACATTTATTTAACACTCTTATACATTCCTCAATCTCTTTTACTGTCAATAGTGGGAACCAATGGTAACACTTCACATTTGGTCTCTGTTACATTGACATGCTGATGATGTAGGCTAAATATATACATACACATAGGCTAAAGGTTTTATCCAGCATGAATGACCCATATACTGTATGTGGTCAAGAGTGTTCATCTCGAGGAAGCACAGTGCAATAGGCTTCCTTTCTCTAGTACCTCTTAAAATAGTCCAAGACAGACACAAGACCATTTTCCCCATCTGACTCAATACCCTCTTTATCGATAGCCTGTAATCCCGCAGCATGATGTGTATTTGTCAGTATGTTCAACTGTGTATATCTGTGCCTTACAGCAGTGTTAGCTGAACTTCCAATTCCCAGTAACGTCAGGATTACCTCCATCAACATGGGACTAGTGTTGGAGTGGGATCCCCCTCAGAACCACACAGAAAACCTCACCTACAGATCAGAATACAAATGGTAATATGAAAAACAACACAACACAACCAAGTGAGGGTGAACATTGAAATATGACGAACTTCCTCCTATGGGTGCTGGGAAATGACACACCCACAAGTTGTCTTCCCCAGAAGACTCTGTGTCACACACACACACACACACCACACACGTCAACATACACTCACTATATTTATAAGGAATTGGTGCAACTATTTCACTCCTATTTCACTCTGCTTTTCTATTACACAATATTTGTCAGAATGGGTTTCAGGCATACAAACACTGTACAAACAGCTTACAAACACTGGACAAACAGCTTACAAACACTGTACAAACAGCTTACAAACACTGGACAAACAGCTTACAAACACTGGACAAACAGCTTACAAACACTGGACAAACGCTTACAAACCTGGACAAACGCTTACAAACCGGGAAAAACACTTACAAACACTGGACAAACAGCTTACAAAACAGCTTACAAACAGCTTACAAACAGCTTACAAACACTGTACAAACAGCTTACAAACACTGGACAAACAGCTTACAAACACTGGACAAACAGCTTACAAACACTGGACAAACAGCTGACAAACAGCTTACAAACAGCTTACAAACAGCTTACAAACATTGTACAAACAGCTTACAAACAGCTTACAAACGCTGGACAAACAGCTTACAAACACTGGACAAACAGCTTACAAACATTACAAACGCTACAAACAGCTTACAAACACTGGACAAACAGCTTACAAACAGCTTACAAACACTGGACAAACAGCTTACAAACATGTACAAACAGCTTACAAACAGCTTACAAACAGCTACAAACAGCTTACAAACAGCTTACAAACAGTTAACACTGAACTAGCTACAAAACACTTCAAACATTGACAAACAGCTTACAAACAGCTTACCAAACATGGGAACACAAAGCCATGACCACATACAAACATGATGTCTTGTATAGAACACAGGGGCAAACTCAACGGGCAGACTACCAGCTGTATGTGGAACAACAGTACCCTGAAGCAACATGTAACTCAACCAGTCATACGCTAAACAACATGGAGAGTACTATTTTCCACAGTAGAGGGTAGAAACGAAACGTACTGGCAGGTGAGAACATCACGGGTGGTAAGACGGAGGACAGCTTTGTCAATGGATAACAAGTGAGTTCCTAGTTACCCATCTGTAACGTCACAACACATTTATAACCTATACATACTACATTCATACAGCACATAAGACATACATGAGCATTTCATAGTAGTTCTTGCACTAGAGACGGGTATGAAAGTGTAATAACAGGTACTGTTAAGCCAGAGGTTGGGTAAAGCACAGTGTATGATTAAAGACTGGAGCCTGACAGCTTTTGCTTTTTAATGGACTATGGTGATCCACTAGTAGGTGCCATGTCATTTCTTTACCCCTGACCTGAGAGGTGGCCACTTCCTTTAGGTCACTTCCTTTCCCGTGTCTCTCTCCACAGCCACCCTAGGCCCTCCCAGCGTGACGCTAGTCTCCAGTGGTGCTGATATTGAAGTGAGCATCAACGACCCAGTGCTCAGGATCTCTGAGTTTAAAGATGTCTACAACCGTGTAACCTATAACATCACCTACTGGAAGGAGGGCCAGGAGGAGTGGGATACATAGGTGGCCATTACTATCATCTGGGATTAACAGAGTCAATAAATACGTAAATATATGCACATGGGGGACCAGTACAAGTCAGTGTAATACGAGGTGAGATCTTACAGGGTCCGTACAGAGTCATTAACCAACATAGCAGATTTATCAGGGATAAAATAATGTAAAAAGTAGAGAGTTAACAGGGTACGTACAGAGTCAATGTTAATAACAATATGAGAATAACAAGAGTGGCAGTAAAAGTACAGTATAACAGTAGGGAGGATATATACAGGGGGTACGGTACAGAGTCAATGTGTAATAACAGTAGGGAGGCTATATACAGGGGGTACCGGTACAGAGTCAATGGGTAATAAACAGTAGGGAGGATATATACAGGGGGTACCGGTACAGAGTCAATGTGTAATAACGGTAGGGAGGCTATATACAGGGGGTACCGGTACAGAGTCAATGTGTAATAACGGTAGGGAGGCTATATACAGGGGGTACCGGTACAGAGTCAATGTGTAATAACGGTAGGGAGGATATATACAGGGGGTACCGGTACAGAGTCAATGTGTAATAATGGTAGGGAGGATATATACAGGGGGTACCGGTACAGAGTCAATGTGTAATAACAGTAGGGAGGCTATATACAGGGGGTACCGGTACAGAGTCAATGTGTAATAACAGTAGCGAGGCTATATACAGGGGGTACCGGTACAGAGTCAATGTGTAATAACGTAGCGAGGCTATATACAGGGGGTACCAGGTACAGAGTCAATGTGTAATAACAGTAGGGAGGCTATATACAGGGGGTACCGGTACAGAGTCAATGTGTAATAACGGTAGGGAGGCTTATACAGGGGGTACCGGTACAGAGTCAATGTGTAATAACAGTAGGGAGGCTATATACAGGGGGGGTACCGGTACAGAGTCAATGTGTAATAACGGTAGGGAGGCTATATACAGGGGGGTACCGGTACAGAGTCAATGTGTAATAAGTAGGGAGGATATATACAGGGGGTACCGGTACAGAGTCAATGTGTAATAAGGTAGGGAGGATATATACAGGGGGTACCGGTACAGAGTCAAGTGTAAATAACAGTAGGGAGGCTATATACAGGGGGGTACCGGTACAGAGTCAATGTGTAATAACGGTAGGGAGGCTATATACAGGGGGTACCGGTACAGAGTCAATGTGTAATAACGGTAGGGAGGCTATATACAGGGGGTACCGGTACAGAGTCAATGTGTAATAACGGTAGGGAGGATATATACAGGGGGTACCGGTACAGAGTCAATGTGTAATAATGGTAGGGAGGATATATACAGGGGGTACCGGTACAGAGTCAATGTGTAATAATGGTAGGGAGGATATATACAGGGGGTACCGGTACAGAGTCAATGTATAATAACAGTAGGGAGGCTATATACAGGGGGTACCGGTACAGAGTCAATGTGTAATAACAGTAGCGAGGCTATATACAGGGGGTACCGGTACAGAGTCAATGTGTAATAACAGTAGCGAGGCTATATACAGGGGGTACCGGTACAGAGTCAATGTGTAATAATGGTAGGGAGGATATATACAGGGGGTACCGGTACAGAGTCAATGTGCGGGGGGCAGTGTAATTTCCACTGCCAACAGCCAGGAGATGTAAAAACAAAGTAGAGTGATTTGCCTGATCTTCTTTCACATCTGATAGTTAACCAACGTATTTCACAGTGACAGTAGCCAGTTTGAGATACAGGTTTAGGGTATACTACTTTTCCTCTGTCAATGGTCAACTTTAGAATTGTTTGGGGTGATAATCTGGTGGCAGATCTGACATTTGAGTACGGTTACATGCACACAATAATGGGATTATTGTGGATAGATTAATATAATAGTTTGACTAAAAAGTGTACAGGCTTTGCAAGAAGAATGATTTCCCTAATAATCCTGTTTACAGGGACACATCTGAATTCAGCCTACCTGATGGCACTCTGATAAATGCAGAAAATTGCCGATCAAAATAATCGTTTTACCACAGCAACCATGTTATTTTTGGGAAGCATATTTGATCCTGAGTTTGGACATATAAAGTTTGGCTAACACTTCATTTTAAGGGGTCCTTATACAGCGTGTGTAATTACACTTTAACAAGTATTGTAATTAACTGTAACAACCAATAGTTACATTGTAATAACAACATGTAACTAACTGGTAGTAAATGTGTCTGTAATTACAAAAAGGTGTAACATTGAATGCTTGTTTTTCATGTTTGTTACAAATGGGCAGGTTTCCTCTAAATTCACCAACTTAGTGTTTTTTTTTTTTTTTTCTCAGATGCATCTGATTCACTAACAACTGTCACAGAGGTCGTGACCCCTCGTGGGATGCGCTGGGTGTCCAAGAGATTTTTAATCCAATAGGCTCTAATTACTTACCCATGAATGTGCACTGTTGAAAATATATCTCCACTCAAAGTTATTGTTAGCAAAATAAGGTGTACCATCTGGGTTAACTTTGTCATCCCAGATGAGGATAAACACTGTTTCAAAGCATTTTAATTTAACATTTAATGTTTGCCTAACTACAATGTAATTACTGGGTGTATCTTGAGGAGTACTCACTTGTAACTAATCTGTATTTATACAGTACACCACCCATCCTGACAACCTGGCCCTCATTTGAAAGCTTCTGGAAGTTTCACTTAATTTCTGTACCTTGTTGTGAAGTGAAGTGAAACTTCCAGAAGCTTTAAAAATGATGGCCACTCAAGATACACTTCATTTTAACTAGCTACATCTGGGATGCCACCCATATTAGATCCCAGTCAGTGAGATTGACCTACTGATCTGTTTTTACCAAGTTATTTTTTGGGGGCAAGCGCTAGCAACAACACTGAGTGAAGACACAGTATAGTGTGAACAGTGCACATTCAAGGGTAAGTCATTAGAGCCCTACCCTATTGAGCATAGGCTCCCTTATGAAAAAAGATTGCAGTCACAGTGCAAGATAACTGCAGTTAGAGTGCAGTACAACTGCAGTATGCTACAAATACTGCGTCCAAAATATAACAGTTTTTTTTACTGCAGTACTTTTGCAGTGTAACTGCAGTTACAGTGCAGTACACTGCAGTTATTCTGCAATTACTGCGTCCAAAATACCACAGTCGACTGCACTTTTACTGCAGTTTCAAAACTGCAATATGTTTTTGTAAAGGCTATAATTTCTCAGACCGACGAGGGATCACAACCTTTGTGACAGTTGTAACTGTATGCAGCAGAGAAGCGATACACTAAGTTGGTGAATTTAGTGGAAACCTGCCCATTTGTACCAAGCATGGTAACAAGCATTCATTGTTACACCTCTGTAATTACATACTGCAATTACTACTATGAGTTGTTACAGTTAACTACAATAGTTGTTACAGTGTAATTACACATGTGATTATGATGTAATAAGGACCCTTTAAAATGAAGTGTTACCAAAGTTTGTATGTGAAAACTACTTCTAAGACGCATACATTCAGTTGTTCCGAAGTCACTTCACTCGCGCTAAAGAGGGAGGCTCGCTTGGCTGGTGCAGATCAAATACACCGCTGGAACACCGATTAAGGTGTTTACATGTCCTAATAATTTGAAAGATTTCTCAGAAAACCAGGTGTTTTAATCAGCGTATACTTACTTCCATTTTGACCTCACGCCGATTAAGATAATCAGAGTAAGGTGTTTACATGACTATTGCATAATCTGCAATGTAAATATACTCATTGTGAGGTGCTCATTCCTTCCTCACTACTCCTCTGTCGCCCCCCCTCAGGCAAAACCGATGAAAGACATCCAGCTGCAGAAAGTGGTCCTGGCGCTGGAGCCATGGACCAGGTACTGTTTTCAGGTCTGGGTGGTCACCGAGAGGTTCGTCAAACACAGCCAGCCCAGCAACATTACGTGTGAGAGCACCTCAAAGGGTGAGGCCCATATTTATTTATCTCTCTCTCTCTCTCTCTCTCTCTCTCTCTCTCTCTCTCTGAGTACAAGTCCACTCTGCTCAACTCTTCGTCCTTGGTGTCCCCTTTCCAACCCCAAACCCTCTACAGGCAAGGACAGGCCCTGGGTGGTAGCCCTGGTAACGTTTGTGGTGATGGCTGTGACTGTGGCCTTGCTGGGTCTGGCCTTCTGGCGCTGCTACAGGGTGGTCAGCTTCCTCAGACCCAAGGCCAAGCTGCCTGGACATTTCACAGTGGTCAGTATGGCGCATGATCACTGTGTTTTAATGAATAATACACTATGTGTTTCTTTGTGTGTAGTAACTGTATCATGCGTTCTTATCTAACCCCTAAATGCCATGTTCATGCTGCTGTTTAGAATTTGAATTAAAAGAGGACTGTTAATGAGGCTGTGTCTTTGGCTGAGTTCCATGTATCAGTGTGTCCAGTTATATCCTGACGTAATAATGAATGGTCTTAATCTAATTTCGACAGACTGCTTAAACATAAATGAGCATCTGACCAAATTACGCAAGATTTTGGTCCAAGATTAGTTTTAAAGGCCTTTAAGGAGATTATTAACAGTTTGTGCATATATTATGACAACATATTGTGACTTTTTCGTTCGGTTTAGTCTTCGGACAGGGTTTTTTCTGGCTGTTCGTGCACACACATTTTTTGAGGCAAGCCGAAGTTGGTAGCTGAAGTCTACACACCTTGTCTGTGATTGCTCAACAGTAGGGATTCTTCAATTAAGTGTTTGTTGTCATTCAACAAGAGAAATTGTTTTCATGCACATTTTTTCACTTGAGAAATACTGTACCAAACATTTTAGATGTAAAATTGCGCGACTAAGATCTCCTCTGCAAAAATGTCAAAATGAATGAAAGATTTCTTGAGTTATCTTAGATTAATTCAGACTATTAATTATATAATTATATTAATTCTGACAGGCTACAGCAGCTCAAGATGGACAAACAGTACTATTGCCGCTTTTTTCTCGTTTTTTCAAGTTAAGATATTTTTAATGGAGTATGCGAGCTGACGCCTTTAGTGTGACCAAACTCTTCTCTCCTCTCCCCTCCCCACCCCACCCCATGCAGTACCTGTTGGATCCCCCGTGCTCCTCCGTCCTGGCCTTGCAGAACAGCCCCCAGCCTGATGAGGTGTACCACGAGGTCACCATCATGCCTGTGGGGACAGAGACAGAGGAGAGAGAGCTCCCTCTGTTGGACGGAACAACATGATGCACATAACCAGACTGACTGACAATACAGAGAATGGCTGTGTTCGAGAGCATCAACTGGCTGATCTATAAATAATATTAAAGAGTTATTTATGATGCATGCTAATTTGTTGATCAGTCAGTCTCGACTCGCCTTTAAAAGTTGGCTGCAATGTCGAACGCACCCAATCACGAAAATATTGAAGTGGATGAGGAAGATATTGATGAGGAAGAGGAAGAAAGAAAAGAGGACAGAAATGGAGGCCGTATTTCTTACTGAGAAATAATAGTCTAACTGATATCAGAGATTGAGTTATTTATTCATCCCTATGCTGAAATGCTAAGAGAGTTATTTACTGTAATGCAGGGATCATCAACTAGATTGTAGGTGGCAAATTGACAGCAAGAAGCCCAAACAAATATAATGTTTGACTAAAACATAATAATTTCCAACCGTGCTTACATTTGTATACGATCACGTGTCTCTCTATTAAGCTTGGGAACAGATTTCCTCAATTAAAATCACTTGGAGATGATTTCCTGGTGTTAAAATTAAATTAAATTTTGCTCAGAAAACTTGGGGGGGGGGGGCAAATACAACCACCGCCAGTTGGGGAATCCTGGTGTAATGTGTTTATTTATGTGACCTGTATATGTATGATAATGATCAATAATGCCTTTTATTCATTATGGCCCTGGTACACTGGCATTTTATGGTATTATGTGTATAGGGCAATGGATTGGTTGAACCACTATGCCATCAGAGAGAGTTGTCATTATGAACCGACTGACACAACACACTCCAAATAGCTTGTGGAATACGGAATTTTTGCATGTAGCTTGCGACAGCCGTCAAGACATAATGTATGAGATCAATGGATCATCAGAAATGGGTATACAGTGCATTCGGAAAGTATTCAGACCCCTTAACTTTTTCCACATTTTGTTATGTTACAATCACACAATACCCCATAATGACAAAGCGAAATCATGGTTGTGGAAATTGTTGCACATTTATTAAAAATAACAATCTGAAATACCTTATTTACATAAGTATTCAGACCCTTTGCTACGAGACTCGAAATTGAGCTCAGGTGCATCCTGTTTCTATTGATCATCCTTGAGATGTTTCTACAACTTGATTGGAGTCCACCTGTGGTAAATTCAATTGATTGGACATGATTTGGAAAGGAACACACCTGTCTATATAAGGTCCCACAGTTGACAGTGCATGTCAGAGCAAAAACCAAGCCATGAGGTTGAAGGAATTGTCCGTAGAGCTCAGAGACAGGATTGTGTGGAGGCACAGATCTGGGGAAGGTTACCAAAACATTTCTGCAGCATTGAAGGTCCCCAAGAACACAGTGGAATACGTTTTGAACCACCAAGACTCTTCCTAGAGGTGGCCGCCCGGCCAAACTGAGTATCGGGGGAGAAGGGCCTTGGTCAGGGAGGTGACCAAGAACCCGATGGTCACTTTGACAGAGCTCCAGAGTTCCTCTGTGGAGATGGGAGAACCTTCCAGAAGGACAACCATCTCTGCAGCACTCCACCAATCAGGCCTTTATGGTAGAGTGGCCAGACGGAAGCCACTCTTCAGTAAAAGGCACGACAGCCTGCTTGGAGTTTGCCAAAAGGCACCTAAAGGACTCAGACCATGAGAGGGAAAAAACGATTTAATCAATTTTAGAAGAAGGCTGTAACGCAACAAAATGTGGAAAAAGTCAAGGGGTCTGAATACTATCTTGAATGCACTGTAGATAGATAGCTACTTAGTCAGTTAGCTACACACATACACCTTAGCCAAATACATTTCAACTCAGTTTTTCACAATTCCTGACATTTAATCCTAGTAAAAAAACCCTGTCTTAGGTCAGTTAGGATCACCACTTTATTTTAAGAATATGAAATGTCAGAATAATTATTTATTTCAGCTTTTATTTCTTTCATCACATTCCCAGTGGGTCAGAAGTTTACATACACTCAATTAGTATTTGGTAGCGTTGCCTTTAAATTGTTTAACTTGGGTCAAACGTTTCGAGTAGCCTTCCACAAGCTTCCCACAATACGTTGGGTGAATTTTGCCCATTCCTCCTGACAGAGCTGGTGAAACTGAGTCAGGTTTGTAGGCCTCCTTGCTCGCACATGCTTTTTCAGTTCTGCCCACACCTTTTCTATAGGATTGAGGTCAGGGCTTTGTGATGGCCACTTCAATACCTTGACTTTGTTGTCATTAAGCTATTTTGCCACAACTTTGGAAGTATGCTTGGGGTCATTGTCCATTTGGAAGACCCATTTGCGACCAAGCTTTAACTTCCTGACTGATGTCTTGAGATGTTGCTTCAATATATCCACATCATTTTCCTTCCTCATGATGCCATCTATTTTGTGAAGTGCACCAGTCCCTCCTGCAGCAAAGCAGCCCCACAGCATGATGCTGCCACCCGCGTGCTTCACTGTTGGGATGGTGTTCTTCGGCTTGCAAGCAGCCCCCTTTTTCCTTCAAACATAACGATGGTCATTATGGCCAAGCAGTTCTATTTTCGTTTCATCAGACCAGAGGACATTTCTCCAAAAAGTACGATCTTTATCCCCATGTGCAGTTCCAAACCATCGTTTTTTATGGCAGTTTTGGAGCAGTGGCTTCTTCCTTGCTGAGCGGCCTTTCAGGTTATGTCGATATAGGACTCGTTTTACTGTGGATATAGATACTTTTGTACCTGTTTCATCCAGCATCTTCACAAGGTCCTTTGCTGTTGTTCTGGGATTGATTTGCACTTTTCGCACCAAAGTACATTCATCTCTAGGAGACAAAACACGTCTCCTTCCTGAGCGTTATGACGGCTGCGTGGTCCCATGGTGTTTATACTTGTGTACTATTGTTTGTACAGATGAACGTGGTACCTTCAGGCGTTTGGAAATTGCTCCCAAGGATGAACCAGACTTGTGGAGGTCTACAATTCTTTTTCTGAGGTCTTGGCTGATTTCTTTTAATTTTCCCATTATGTCAAGCAAAGAGGCACTGAGTTTGAAGGTAGGACTTGAAATACATCCACAGGTACACCTCCAATTGAATCAAATGATGTAAATTAGCCTGTCAGAAGCTTCTAAAGCCATGACATCATTTTCTGGAATTTTCCAAGCTGTTTAAAGGCACAGTCAACGTAGTGTATGTAAACTTCTGACCCACTGGAATTGTGATACAGTGAATTATAAGTGAAATAATCTGTCTGTAAACAATTGTTGGAAAAATTACTTGTGTCGTGCACAAAGTAGATGTCCTAACCGACTTCCCAAAACTATAGTTTAACAAGAAATGTGTGGAGTGGTTGAAAAACGAGTTTTAATGACTCCAACCTAAGTGTATGTAAACTTCCGACTTCAACATTATATATATATATATATATATAAAAATAGTACCAGTCAAAGGTTTGGACACACCAACTCATTCAAGGGTTTTTCTAAAATTGTTTACATTGTAGAATAATAGTGAAGACATCAAAACTATGAAATAACACATAGTCGGTGTGTCCAAATGTTTGACTGGTAGTGTATACACACACACTGAACAGAAATATAAATGCAACATGTAAAGTGTTGGTCTCATGTTTCATGAGCTGAAATAAAAGATCCCAGAAATGTTCCATACACACAAAAAGCGTATTTCTCTCAAATTTTGTGCACAAATTTGTTCACATCCCTGTTAGTCAGCATTTATCCTTTGCCAAGAGAATTCACCCACTTGACACGTGTGGCACATCAAGAAGTTGATTAAACAGCATGATCATTACACAGGTGCACCTTGTGCTGGGGACACTAAAAGGTCACGATGGTAGAAAATGTCTGTTATACACCATGTAAGCCTTAAACCTGAATTTTTATAATATTTATTTTTTCCCATGTAAGAGGAAGCTAGTATTTTTCCTTTCTGTCTGTGTCCTGCTTAAGTCACGCGGCCTTAATACAATGGCCCATCCTGTTCCTTTGGGATCTTTCAAGGACAGATATGAGAAGAACAGAGGCTAGTTTGAGCAGCAGCAGTCAGACATCAGCAGAACGGAGTAACGGAACTGTCGTTATCACTTGTTTGTGCGCTCTGTTCCCACCATGATCTCACACGCTCTGTTCCCACCATGATCTCACACGCTCTGTTCCCACCATGATCTCACACGCTCTGTTCCCACCATGATCTCACACGCTCTGTTCCCACCATGATCTCACACGCTCTGTTCCCACCATGATCTCACACGCTCTGTTCCCACCATGATCTCACACGCTCTGTTCCCACCATGATCTCACACACTCTGTTCCCACCATGATCTCACACACTCTGTTCCCACCATGATCTCACACACTCTGTTCCCACCATGATCTCACACACTCTGTTCCCACCATGATCTCACACACTCTGTTCCCACCATGATCTCACACACTCTGTTCCCACCATGATCTCACACACTCTGTTCCCACCATGATCTCACACACTCTGTTCCCACCATGATCTCACACACTCTGTTCCCACCATGATCTCACACACTCTGTTCCCACCATGATCTCACACACTCTGTTCCCACCATGATCTCACACACTCCGTTCCCACCATGATCTCACACGCTCCGTTCCCACCATGATCTCACACGCTCCGTTCCCACCATGATCTCACACGCTCTGTTCCCACCATGATCTCACACGCTCTGTTCCCACCATGATCTCACACACTCTGTTCCCACCATGATCTCACACACTCTGTTCCCACCATGATCTCACACACTCTGTTCCCACCATGATCTCACACACTCTGTTCCCACCATGATCTCACACACATGCTGAACTGCACATAGACAAGAGAGTGTTTCTTTCTATAAAAGGGGAGGCCGAACTCTGGGTCGCTGGGCTCTCTACAAAGCACCTACGGGTGGTTATTTGACCAGCTCCATTATTGCAATAATTAATCGATATTAAAGTATGATTGTTTTAATAATCTGCAGTCTCTCTTCCTTTTGATTAGAATTTCCACGACAATACACAACGCCACAGATGTCTCAAGTTTTGAGCGATTGGCTGACTGCAGCAATGTCTACCAGAGCTGTCTGTAATAAAGCCCTTTTGTGGGGAAAAACTAATTCTGATTGGCTGGGCCTGGCTCCCCAGTGGGTGGGCCTATGCCCTCCCAGGCCCACCCATGGCTGTGCCTCTGCCCAGTTGTGAAATTCATAGATAAATAATACGTTTCCTTCACAAATGTAACAGAGGTCAAGCTCAGCATGGATCCGTGAAATAGAAGTATCAGTATGCAATAAAACACCTAGGCAAGGGGTATGAGATGAGAGATCATTTCTTTAATATGAATACAACTCCATTTGGAAGCAATAGTTTACAGCATGTTCAGTATTGTACAGCATGCCCAACGATATAAATGGCACTTTTTTTTCTCTTCACACTATTCACCAGGACAACTTTAACTTACAGTAGGTAACTATAATGCTGCGTCAGACTTCAGCTACGTATGATAAAGCATAGGCAATAAACATTTGCATTGGCTGTGGTTATGAGGCGTTGACAGATGCAAGGTATGGTTTTGTTGGATGCATTTTATGTAACTTTTACCCAAATGATGCTGATCATTTCCTCTTGTTTAACTTGGACAAAATGATGTTGTATTTATAGTGAAAAACCTCTAGGAGGAAATTGTTCCGCAGGGGAGTTTCACCTCAGAACAAACCATCAGAAAGAGGAAGAGCGACATCAATAAACGTAGACCTTCAGGGATTCAGTTCTTGTTTAAGACTCAGGGGTCCAACCAGTAACAGTTGGAGCAAAGCACCTTTCAAAACAAAGATGAGGTCAAATTCTTGATTTCAGATTCTATAAGAATCATAAAAAGGACAAACAAATTAATGAATAAACAAACAAACACAGGCACACTTGTCAGATGTGGCAGGGTTTGCAAACCACCAAGGACTACAAAGGGAAACCCAGCCGCGACCTGCCCAGCGACGTGAGCCTACCAAGTGAGCTAAATGCCTTTAAGCTCACTTCGAGGCAAGCAACACTGAACCATGCATGAGAGCCCCAGATGTTCCGGACGACTGTATGATCTCGCTCTCCGTGGCTGATGTGAGTAAGACCTTTAAACAGGTTAACATACGCAAGGCTGCTGGGCCAGACGGAATACCAGGCCGCGTACTCGGAGTATGTGCTGACCAGCTGGCAAATCGCCCCGTAGCTCTCAAATCTATAGCCATGAAATGCTTTGAAAGGTTGGTCATGGCTCACATCAACACCATCATCCCAGACACCCTGGACCCACTCCAATTCGCATACCGCCCCAACAGATTCACAGATGATGCAGTCTCTTTTGCACTCCATACTGCCCTCACCCACCTGGACAAAAGGAATACCTATGTAAGAATGCTGTTCATTGACTACAGCTCAGCATTCAACACCATATTCCCCTCTAAGCTCATCACCAAGCTCAGGACCCTGGGACTGAACACCTCCATCTGAGACTGGATCCTGGACTTTGACGGGCCACCCCCAGGCAGTAAGGGTAGGAAACAACACATCCACCACGCTGACCAGCAACACGGGGCCCCTCAGGGGTGTCCTTAGTCCCCTCCTGTACTCAATGTTCACCCACAACTGCGTGGCCGAGCACGACTCCAACACCATCATCAAGTTTGCTGACGACACGACGGTTGTAGGACTTATCACCGACGACGATCCGGCAGCCTATAGGGTGGAGGTCAGAGACCTGGCAGTGTGTTGCCAGGACAACAACCTCTCCCTCAACGTCAGCAAGACACAGGAGCTGATCGTAGACTAGAGGAAACGGAGGAGCAAACACGCCCCCATCCACATCAATGGGGCGGTAGCGAAGCAGGTCGAGAGCTTCAAGTTCCTCGGTGTCCAAATCACTAAGGACTTAACATGGTCCATACACACCCACACAGTTGTGAAGAGGGCATGACAGCGCCTCGACCCCTCAGGAGGCTGTTCTACAGCTGCACCATTGAGAGCCTCTTGACTGGCTGCATCAGCGCTTGGAACGGCAACTACAAGGCACCCGACCGCCAGGCGCTACAAAGGGGGGTGAGTACATCACTGGAGCCGAGCTCCCTGCCATCCAGGACCACTATAACCAGGCGGCGTAAAGAGGAAGGCCCCAAAAAGTCTGGAACCAACATGGCCCTGAACAGCTTCTACCCCCAAGCTATAAGACTGCTAAAGAAGACAGCTAAATAGCTTATCAAATGGCTACCCGGACTACCTGCATTGACTATGTACACACACTGGCCTCTGAGACATACAGTACTTACACTGACAACACAACACACATACCCCTATATTACGCCCACACACCATGCTCACCCATGCATACTGATGCCAAACAGATTCAAACCCACCAAATACGCTGCTGCAAATGTACTGTCTTATCTATCTTAGGCACGTACACACACACACACACACACACACGACAGGATTAGTTTTGAAGATGAATTAACCAGAACTGTTCCTTTTCAAGAAAATGTCTTGCCTGTAAAATAGGTTGCATTACGACCACGTGTGTGTGATTTATACCATGTTGTTTAAACATGACTAGCTACCCTGTTTCCCCCTGGATTCTTTCACACACACACACACACGCAGTCTTGTACAGCTAACCTTGTGGGGACACACAATTCCTATTTCCCCTAACCCCTATTCTTACACTTAACCTAACCCAAAAACCTAACCTTAACCCTAACTCCTAACCCTAAAACTAACCCTAGCTCCTAACCCTAACCTTTAACGTAATTCTAACCCTAACCCCCTAGAAATAGCATTTGACCTCGTGGGGACTAACAACATTTCCCCAGTTGGTCAGATTTTTGTTTGTTCACTATTCTTGTGGGGACTTCTGGTTAAAAACGTCCACACACACTATTCATAGATGCTAATGGACCAAATGTCCCAGAATTCACCGGAAACAGAAAGCATGCCCTTGTCAGTGACCAGCTGAGTCTGAGATGAGATGGACGTGTTCCAAACTACACTAAACCATGTTCCAGCATGGCCATAGAAAGGTGGACTGGGGTCTTTTTGACATCTTAAAGTCAATGGGATTCCATCCCAAATCTGACAGTTGCCCATCATCATCATCATGTGGCAAGTGACACTTTGCTTCTTGAAAGTCCAATATCTTGAAAACTTGACTGTTGACATGGAAAACATGTTGGGACTTTAGTGGATTTTTCCTTTAAGGTAGGTTGGACAGGTGACAATGTGTCTTTGGCTCTGAGAGACTTCATCATCTTCACAGTGTTCTTTGAGGAGAGGCAGCAAGACTGGGAGACTTGAGAGAACATTCTGTGAGACCCTTCTCCTTTCCCCATTACAAATCTCCAACCATCATTGACAGTCTATCTACCCAGATCTGGTCTCTCTCCATTTCTCCTCAGACGCCCACATCCACAACCCCCTCGTCCAGAACTCTATCGTCAGTCGACTCTCTCCCCATCTCCTCCATCTTGACCTGCTCCAGTGTCTGCCAGGAGTCCACTTCCTGGTCTCTCCTGATTGACTCCCCACCACTACGACCCTGCTGGGCGGAGCCTCCCTCTGTGGAGTAGATCCCAGAGTCTCCGCTGCCCTGGCTGCTGTGCCTGCCGCTGTCCTGCTCCAGCTCTGAGGGGGGCGCTGTGAGGGGAGGAGGGACGTGTATCTCCAGGAGCGCCACCTCAGGACAGATGGTCAGCTTATCACAGCACAGCTCTGCCTCAGCAGTGAGGAGGCGGGGCATGTCGGAGCCGGGAGAGGAGTCACAGAAGTACTGGGGGAGGGGAAGAGAAGGTGGGGGGGAGAGGTGGTGAGAGAGAAAGAAGGTAATTTAATTGTCTATTGCTTAATCCCAACCACCCTTAGACACACACCCACCAACAGAGAGGATGGATGGTACACCGGATATTACTGTTGTGCAAGCGGCTATGAAGCCTACCTCCTGGATGTGTGCAGGCAGCTGGATGGAGGGGTAGAAGGCGTATTTGAGGACTCTGTAGAACCTGAAGGCAGCGTAGGAGGGAAGCAACACGAGCAGGAAACACACCACCATGGAGACCAGGAAGTACAGGAAGATCTGCCAGTACGGGGTGTCACCTGAGGACGAGGACACACAGTCACACTTTACAGTGTCCTTATTGTGTAAATACTCCTGTAAAACACACACTCTCTCTCTGGCATCTCTACACACACATTATACTTACTCACACTGATACAGGTAGGTTACACACACATCAAGCACATCTCCAAGTGTTTAGTGTGAAGTGTTCATTCCTACCCTCCGTCTGCATGCACTGTGGTGCCGTGTTGCCACTAGTCTTGTTGTAGTAGTCATAGCGAGACTGGACCATGACACAGTACCACGTCCAGGCCTCCAGCTCAGGCAGAGTCACCAGGTTGTTGCTAGAGTCCACCACTTTAGGATTCAGACCCTGATCATACAATAACAACATGTTATAATCAGAGCGGTTTGGGATACACTGCCCTGTCTTGGACTACCCCCTGCCGTTCCACTCATTTCACCTATTCCAGTACTAGCACATTGGATTCCACTGGTGAACTAATCATCAAGCCCTTCATAAGTTGAATCATCTGTGGTAGTACTGAATACGTCACAAAAGTGGAACGGTTGGGGATACCTGTGGATTACAGAGAAATCATATATATCTGGTCTGGTGTAACACAGGGACACAGAATGGCTATTGAGATTGTTTCACCTGGAGAAGTTCCAGAGAACATTTGCATTCCATCTGAATGCCCTGGCCTGATTTGGAACACTTTAAAACCTTTCAGAATACAACCCACCAACCAGTTTCCTGTATAGAAAACCACATTAGGAACACAGGTGTGTTCTATCTTTAAGTTGGTGGTTTAGAGTGTTACACCATGTTGTTGTAGCTTCTGGGTTACTGAGGGGAGGCCCAGGTTATAGCAGTCACAGGGTTACTGAGGGGAGGCCCAGGTTATAGCAGTCACAGGGTTACTGAGGGGAGGCCCAGGTTATAGCAGTCACAGGGTTACTGAGGGGAGGCCCAGGTTATAGCAGTCACAGGGTTACTGAGGGGAGGCCCAGGTTATAGCAGTCACAGGGTTACTGAGGGGAGGCCCAGGTTATAGCAGTCACAGGGTTACTGAGGGGAGGCCCAGGTTATAGCAGTCACAGGGTTACTGAGGGGAGGCCCAGGTTATAGCAGCCACAGGGTTACTGAGGGGAGGCCCAGGTTATAGCAGTCACAGGGTTACTGAGGGGAGGCCCAGGTTATAGCAGTCACAGGGTTACTGAGGGGAGGCCCAGGTTATAGCAGTCACAGGGTTACTGAGGGGAGGCCCAGGTTATATCAGCCACAGGGTTACTGAGGGGAGGCCCAGGTTATAGCAGTCACAGGGTTACTGAGGGGAGGCCCAGGTTATAGCAGTCACAGGGTTACTGAGGGGAGGCCCAGGTGTCTTTAGTTACAGCAGTCACAGGGTTACTGAGGGGAGGCCCAGGTTATAGCAGTCACTGGGTTACTGAGGGGAGGCCCAGGTTATAGCAGTCACAGGGTTACTGAGGGGAGGCCCAGGTTATAGCAGTCACAGGGTTACTGAGGGGAGGCCCAGGTTATAGCAGTCACAGGGTTGCTGAGGGGAGGCCCAGGTTATAGCAGTCACAGGGTTACTGAGGGGAGGCCCAGGTTATAGCAGTCACAGGGTTACTGAGGGGAGGCCCAGGTTATAGCAGTCACAGGGTTACTGAGGGGAGGCCCAGGTTATAGCAGTCACAGGGTTACTGAGGGGAGGCCCAGGTTATAGCAGTCACAGGGTTACTGAGGGGAGGCCCAGGTTATAGCAGTCACAGGGTTACTGAGGGGAGGCCCAGGTGTCTTTAGGGGCCATAGAAAAAGGCAGAAGGCTGAGCCAGTACCTGAGGGTCATCAGAGCGGCTCCAGTACAGGATGTGGTAATACAGGGAGGGGATATGATCCTTCATGGAGCCCTGGGTGCTGGTCAGGGGGTCAGAGATTGTCACGTCCAGCAGGTTCCCCACAGGAGCCAGCTCCACCCTGGATGGTGGGCCCAATGAAGCTAGACGGGGAACAACAGATAAGACCAAAATAAACTCACTAATCATCACTAGTTGCAATACAGCCAACTCCAGAGTACAGGGAATGATTATTGGTGAATGACAGTTTGTCTATCTGTGCTAGTTGTGTGTGTTGGTGTGTGGCTGTGTGTTGGCGTGTGGCTGTGCGTGCCGGTGTGTGTGTGTGGCTGTGCGTGTTTTATTTAAATGTTATTTAACCTTTATTTAAGACCAATTTAGGTTAAAAACCTATTTTGCGAGGGCGACCTGGCAAGAAGGCAAAACAGGGAAATAGCAGCGTGTACATAAAATATTACAGAAAAATACAAAAAACACAAAAGCTGCAGGATTTCAGTCCTTCACGGCGTAGTGTGTTGGTGACTATGGTCCCAGCTGCCTTGAAATCATTGACAAGATCCTCCCGTGTAGTTCTGGGCTGACTCCTCACCGTTCTCATGATCATTTCAACTCCACGAGGTGAGAGCTTGCATGGAGCCCCAGGCCGAGGGAGATTGACAGGTCTTTTGTGTTTCTTCCATTTGCGAATAATCACACCAACTGTTGTCACCTTCTCACCAAGCTGCTTGGCGATGGTCTTGTAGCCCATTCCAGCCTTGTGTAGGTCTACAATCGTGTCCCTGACATCCTTGGAGAGCTCTTTGGTCTTGGCCATGGTGGAGAGTTTGGAATCTGATTGATTGATTGCTTCTTTGGACAGGTGTCTTTTATAAAGGTAACAAGCTGAGATTAGGAGCACTCCCTTTAAGAGTGTGCTCCTAATCTCAGCTCGTTACCTGTATAAAAGACACCTGGGAGCCAGAAATCTTTCTGATTGAGAGGGTGTCAAATACTTATTTCCCTCATTAAAATGCAAATCAATTGCTAAGATTTTTTACATGCGTTTTTCTGGATTTATTTGTTGTTATTCTGTCTCTCACTGTTCAAATAAACATACCATTAAAATTATAGACTGATCATTTCTTTGTCAGTGGGCAAACGTACAAAATCAGCAGGGGATCAAATACTTTTTTCCCCTCACTGTAACTTATTTGAAAAGTCATTACTTTATTACATTGCTCAACATTTTCTTAACATTTGTCATAATTAGTTAAAGCAATGAATTTGTACCGCTCTCGTCGGACTTCATCTGCATATTTTCCGCCATTTACTTCAAATCTGAAAACGTTGTGAAGCCACGCCCATTTTCTGAAGAATTGCATTATGGGCCCTAAAAGCACGGAAATAGCGTCCACTGCTTGTATACTTCGTATTTTGACTAATTTAGTACGACACCCGGGCCCTTTTGGCACACTAACTATATCCATACTATGACCAATAAGCATACCACATACTCAATTTACGTCACAGATAGTACAGTTAGTGCGGTTAGTATGAGTATTCGAATAGCAGCGTGTACAGAAAATACTACAGAAAAATACTAAATACACACAAAAGACAAAGTGTCACAAGTTCCAGATACATTTGAAGATTAGAAACAACTGCAGCTGTCACAAACAGTGTCGTCGCTCAGAGTCTTAAATACAGGCAACTCCTCTAACTTTAATATCTTTTGAAGCATATTCCAGGATGATGGGGCATTATGGGAAAGATATTGCTTCCCCATCTGTTCTAGCCTTAGGAACAGACAAGGACAGCAGCGACTGTGAACAAAGACTGTATTGAGTGACTGATCTGGTCAGTAAGGAACCGAGATACAAAAGGAAGTCTATCAATGCTTTGTACACAAAAGTGTCCCAGTGCTTTAGCCTCCTGGTCCATTGCACCATAGCAAGTGATGTAGCATTTGTAATAAACCTTAAAGCCCCATGATACACCGTGTCCAGAGTTAAGGTACTTGCTGAGGCCTGCATATAGACAATATAACCATAACCCAGCACCAATACCAAAGTGCTTTGAACAAGATCCTTTCTGACTGACATTGAAAAGCAAGATTTGTTCCTAAAATATAAACCACATTTCAACTTCAGTTTCTTGTTCAGGTTTTCAATGTGCTGTTTAAATCTTTTCATCTAACCAAATCCCAAGGAGGTGAGCCTGACCCTGTCGATTTGCTGGTCTTTTATAGTTCAAATCTGCAAATCTTACTTTCAGAGAAGAGAAAACCATACATTGTTTTCCTTGCATTAAGCACAAGTTTCAATTTGAAAAGCTGCCTCTGAATAACATCAAAAGCAAACTATAAGTCCTGAAAAGCCTTCTCAATATTAGATGCACTAGAATAAATAATTGTGTCATCAGCATACAGATGGAGATTTGCAGAGTCAACCGTCTTCCCTATATCATTTATATACAGTGTAAAAAGGATCAGACCTAAAATTGAGCCCTGGGGAACTCCTTTTGTAAGACTTCGAAACTCAGATTTCATACCCTCCTGTGCTACACACTGTTCTGTCAGAACAGTAGTTTTGGAACCAATCCAATGCATCAACACTTAAACCAAGGTTTTTTAGACTATACAACAGCAGGGCATGGTCAACAGTGTCGAAGGCAATAGAAAGTGAAACAGTGATTTGTCTTGTCCTGAGCATCTAGAATCTCACCTACAACCTTACTGCAGTAATTGTACTATGATTGGTTCTAAAACCTGACTGGAATTGAGATAAAACTGAGTTATTATAAAGTCTTTCAACTGTGAGTTTACCAGGTTTTCCAAAACTTTTGCCAGTGCAGACAGTTTAGATATGGACGATAGTTATCCAACTGGGACGGATCTCCACTCTTATGTAAAGGCGTGACGTAGGCTGCTTTCCAGACTTTTGGAATGGTATTACTCACCAATTAAAGATTTAATATATGAGTGAGAGGGGCAGCAATGATCTCTGCACCAATTTTTAGAAAATAAGGGTTCAATTCATCCGGGCCAGACGCTTTCTTAATTTCAATAGATTTGAGTGCCTTCACAACTTCTGAAAGCTCAATCAACACACGTGTGTGTGTGTGGGTTGGTGTCTGGCTGTGTGTGGGTTGGTGTCTGGCTGTGTGTGGGTTGGTGTCTGGCTGTGTGTGGGTTGGTGTCTGGCTGTGTGTGGGTTGGTGTCTGGCTGTGTGTGGGTTGGTGTCTGGCTGTGTGTGGGTTGGTGTCTAAATATGTGACTGTTTGAAACTGTGTCTATTTTCCTGATATCTTCTCTCATTTAGTTTATTTTTCATCTGTGCCCAAGTCTGTCTGCCTTCTCCCATTCCTCTCTCACCGTCTATATCAGGGCAGAAGTCTTTGTAGACCCAGTGTGAGTGGAGACCGCCTGCGCTGGCTCGGACTCTGAGCATGTACATGCCCAGGTAGTGCAGATCAGAACCTGTGAGGTCACAGCGGGTGTGTGTGGTCCCGTCACACACACGGCTCCAGTTCTTCTTCTTCTTCTTCATCTTGTACTTTCTGTTGGGGAGAGAGCGAGAGGGTCAGTGATGAGAGGCAGTCTTGGCCTAATACCAGATTATGACTCTCAGAGTGGTAAAATAAACAGACAAGTCACTGTTTGGGTGTAGGATGTGAAATCCGGTATAGTATGTGACATGTAGGAGGGGTGGAGGGTGGGGGTGAAATACGGTATAGTATGTGACATGTAGGAGAGGTGGAGGGGGTTTTGTGAGTGCATCTGGTGACTTACGCTATGTACTCTGCAGTGAAGGTAACAGCGTTGCCTGTGGTCGTCTGGTCCCAGTCCCATGTCAGTATGTACTGTGTGTTCAGGGTGAGCAGAGTCAGGTTCTGAGGTAGAGACAGCTCTGCAACCACTGAAACACAGCGAGTAAGACAGGCAGACAGGGTCATTAAAGAGTTATTCACTGTTTGGTGGCGTATTGATTACACGTTATATGATGGGAGTTGGATATAATCAACTGATTCGGCAGCAACTTTGAAGTTAAAACAGCCTAACCATTGGCATACTTTAGGCCAGCGATTCTCAACTGGTGGGTCGAGGTTTTCAATGTGTCCGAGTAAAAATAATAGTGAATAAATACTCCAGTCTGAACATAAACGACTTAAACCAGGTAGAACGTGTGTAGAAATGATAATGAATTTACATTTGGAAATCATTTAATCTCTGAAGAATTTATATCAATATAGCGCTATTAGCGGCACTATTTGGGTTGATTTGTTTGGTCTCAAACCAGTGAGTTTATTAACATTCTTCATCAAGAATAAGGGTAAAAGTATATTATTGACAATGAAAGAGGTGGGAATGTTGTTCCCTTGTCATATAAATTGCTACATTTACTATCAACATAGCATTAAAAATAGTTTCCCAGATTTTTTTTATTTTGCCGATTATTTTTCGCGATGCGAATATTGGGTCGCGGCAGAGACAACCTGGTTCAATTTGGGTCACGAAGCAAAACCAGTTGAGAACCACTGCTTTAGGCTATGCATTTCATCACTACCTCACAGCCAACCACCAATTCACATGTCCTGTGGACAATATGAAATATTCCAAAGAAAGAGGAATCAATCCGATATTTAGATCTCTGAAGAACAAAAGAAGCTAAAACACACCCCTGTGGTGAGAAAAACCATAGGCTAGCAACAATGACATTGACCTCACTAGCTAGCCAGCGCTTCTATTGGGAGATTCCACGCCAGCAAGAAATGCTTTTTTGGTACCTCAGAATGTTCTTGCAATTCTCACATAGGAACTTCATTGGGAGGAAGGATGTTTAACAGGCTTTTTACATTTGTATCAAACCATTATTTTGAAAATCATGATGAAAGTGGCCATTTTAGACCTCTTGTAAGACCCTAATGATCTGTAAACCATACATGATAACAGACATATTGGTGTCATTCTAAAGCCAGTGTTCTCTCATATATGGAGTATGTCTAGACTCTGAAATACACATTTTCAATGCGTACTTCACCCATGCTCTACCAAGGTTTTCCAGCACACAGCTGTGACCTACTACAGTAGCTATGTTGGTCTATTGTACTTCCGACAATGTGTATGTAGGTTGCTTAGGATTCAAACCTTCTCAAAAACAGCCTAATTCACACTCTTAGAAGAGGTGATCCCACAATGTGATTTGTACCGCATACAAGGTAATGTATTGCATTTGTCCCACTCCAAGACATTACCCCATTCCACTACCTTTTCAAGCTTTTTTTATTTTATGAAAGCAAGCTTTGCTTTTATAGTTACAAACACCCTCAGGCTTGATTTAGTGAGCCGTTTTGTCTTGTAGTAATGTGGTGCCTGCCTGCATTTCTTTAAACTTTTATTTTAACAATACATGAATTGAAAAATAAATAGATTTCATAACATCTTCTTTGGTCAGTAGGTACCCAACATAACAACAGGGGGTGGTATGTTCAACACAGTCACTCATATTGATAGAGGGGTCTATAGAGCCGGTCTGTACTCCTGGTTTCTGTAACCGTGAGCTTACCTGTGTAATATTGACATAAGCTCAGAACCACTCGTTTCCAAACATGGTCCTGTTTTATCAATTACTGTGCTGAACAATGGATAGTTCGTTACCTCTGTCAAATGACTATGTAGCTTAAAGTTGTGTGTCTCCTGACAAATGAGAACACACGAAAGGGAACGGTCTAAATATCCCCGCCGGTCGGCGAACCCAACACCTTCATATCCCAGGGCGGTGACACTAACCGTTACGCTATAAACCCTGTTGCAGATGCATAAACTTTGCCCATTTTTAAAATAGTGTCGTCTGGTGATGACAGCACGGTTGTTCATTCACTCAGTACTGATTGAACGTTTAGTCATCTTGCCTGGTACTTTTTTTGGTCTTAAAAAAAACTGTTGATGGGTTCAAAACACTTTCATTTTATCACATAGCTAAGTAAGTTAGCAAGCATGGAGTTTTGACTGTGCACATGTCGCGCAAGCAAAGAATGATCATTATGTTATTGTTTGACCTGGATGCTTCGTGTGCAACCCGCACCCCTGCTATTTTCTTTTTTTCTCCACTTGTGGATGGCGACTTCAGGTTTTCGGAAACACATTGAAAAGTAACTTGACGCGGTGTTGATCAGTCAGCGCACATTTGGATTATAATGACAAGAACAAAACGTCATTGACAGAGGAGGGAGCAGACTGAATTAATACATAAAGGTAAGGGCTAGACTTCGCTCTGGATCCTCTAACAGTGATGCATCTGTCTGGCGTGTGCACGTATTATAAATGACCAGCGTGGCAGTTTTCCCAAAGTTCGGTGTATCTAACTGGCTATTATAGCAGCAGATGACGTTCGATAGCTTATTAGTTTGTTCTCTGATTACACGCAAGTGTCCAGGATAGCAGTTTACACAGATGACCATCTTCAGCAACTTGAAAAACCTTCTATAGCAATATATACAGTGCAGTCGGAAAGTATTCAGAACCCTTGACTTTTTCCACATGTTATTTAGTTATAGCCTTATTCTAAAACATAAGTATTCAGACCCTAAGCTATGAGACTCGAAATTGAGCTCAGGTGCATCCTGTTTCCATTGATCATCCTTGAGATGTTTCTACAACTTGATTGGAGTCCACCTGTGGTAAATTCAATTGATTGGACATGATTTTGAAAGGCACACACCTGTCTAGATATGGTGCCACAGTTGACAGTGCATGTCAGAGCAACAACCAAGCCATGAGGTCGAAGGAATTGTCCGTAGAGCTCCGAGACTGGATTGTGTCGAGGCAAAGATCTGGGGAAGGGTACCAAAAAAAATTCTGCAGCATTGAAGGTCCCCAAGAACACAGTGGCCTCGATCATTCTTAAATGGAAAAAGTTTGGAACCACCCGGCCAAACTGAGCAATCAGGTTAGAAGGGCCTTGGTCAGGGAGGTGACCAAGAACCCCAATGGTCACTGACAGAGCTCTAGAGTTCCTCTGTGGAGATGGGAGAACCTTCCAGAAGGACAACCATCTCTGCAGCACTCCACTAAAATCAGGCCTTTACGGTAGACTTGCCAGTCAGAAGCCACTCAGTAAAAAAGGCACAGCCCGCTTGGAGTTTGCCAAAAGGCACCTAAAGGACTCTCAGATCATAAGAAACAAGATTCTCTGGACTGATGAAACCAAGATTGAAGTCCTTGGCCTGAATGCCAAGCGTCACGTCTGGAAGAAACCTGGCACCATCCCGATGGTTAAGCATGGTGTGGCAGCATCATGCTGTGGGGATATTTTTCAGCAGCAGTGAATGGGAGACTAGTCAGGATCGAGGGAAAGATGAACGGAGCAAAGTACAGAGAGATCCTTGATGAAAACCTGCTCCAGAGCGCTCAGGACCTCAGACTGGGGCGAAGCGTCACCTTCCAACAGGACAACGACCCTAAGCACACAGCAAAGACAACGCAGAAGTGGCTTCGGGACAGGTCTCTGAATGTCCTTGAGTGGCCCAGCCAGAGCCTGGACTTGAACCCGATCAAACATCTCTGGAGAAACCTGAAAATAGCTGTGCAGCGACGATCCCCATCCAACCTGACAGAGCTTGAGAGGATCTGCAGAGAAGAATGGGATAAACTCCCCAAATACAGGTGTGCCAAGCTTGTAGCATCATACCCAAGACGACTCAAGGCTGTAGTCACTGCCAAAGGTGCTTCAACAAAGCACTGAGTAACGGATCTGAATACTTATGTAAATTTAATATTTCCGGGGTTTTTGTTATAAATTTGCAAAAATTTCTAAAAACCAGTTTTAGCTTTGTCATTATGGGGTATTGTGTGTAGATTGATAAGTGAAAAAAACTATTTAATACATTTTAGAATAAGGCTGTAACGTAACAAAATGTCGAAAAGGGCAAGGGGTCTGAAGTGTACCTAGCTAGCCATCTTCCTTTGCTTCTCATCCAACTGGTGTTAGCTAGATAGATACAGCTGCTAGCCTTCTATTAGCTAGCTGCTACTATTGCGCAGCAACTGAGTTGCTTGACCGGTGTAGAACTGAGATAGGGCTGAAAATATGTTAGCATTGTTAGTAATGCTACAAAAAGGTAGCACATCCTTAGTTTAATGGGCAGACATGTGAGAGTGATAAATTGTGAATAAAAAAAAAACTGTGGCACCTACAAACTTGTTCAGTCCAAATGGATCGAAGTCTAAAACAAAATGTCTGAGGACCCTGTCAAAAATCCGGTATAGTGGTTCTCGGTAACAGCCAGACGGATCATGACGAGTGTGTTGTGTACCGCAGTCAAGTTGAATTTAAAATGTTCATCGACATTGGTGTCATATTGGCTTAGATATGATGGTAGGGGGATTTGTATTTAACAATTGAACTTCAAACAATGCCTACTATAGTTGCGCCAACCGGCGCGACTATAATATTGTTCCAAAAAATATATCTTAAAATTAACAAAATCAACAAAAAAAATGGGTAGCTTCTATTAATATTTTTAATGTTAGCAAATATTTTTACTTCAGAATCATGACAGGCGACTCCATATTTTAGAGAACAGGATGGTGTATAATGTCACCAAGATGTGTATCATGTACGGTTCACAGATCATAGGGTCTTACAGGATGCATGTGTAGGTCTAAATAGGGCCTATCATTGCCACATTCATCATCATTTTCTAGGCAATTGCGTGTAATACAAATTTTAATTTCAAACATTCTTTCTCCCAATGTAATTTCTATGTGAAGATGTCCCGAACAATAGGAGATACCAAAAATATTTTCCGCTCCCGCTGTTGTGGAAAGACCCTGTAGAGCTTGCTTGACTGAGACCCAATGCCACAACAGGATGTTGCATCAGATGGTGGGAAAAAATAGTAAATTTAGAACAGTTCCCCTAACAGCTCTGTGTGTGTGTGTGTGTGTGTGTGTGTGTGTGTGTGTGTGTGTGTGTGTGTGTGTGTGTGTGTGTGTGTGTGCTTCAGTGCACCCATGGGGCTGGATTACAGCTACACGATATTTCCCTCCGACCCAAACTATTAGTCTCTATTTTTTGGGGGCACCCCCACCTTGCGGGGCTGCCTGCTACACCAATTATAACTATAAGAAATCTAAGATGTGTCAAATAATTATATCCAGCTCAGGGCTCCAGCTATGCATTTGGTTTGCTAACTTGCTAGCTAAGTGGCTAGGTGTCAAGATCTAGCTTATTGGTTACAGTAGAGACATTCAATCCCCTCCTGGATCAAGATTCCTGTTGCCTAAATTGTTCTGTGCATGACTATGACTGGTTATGACCGATTTATGACGTTTCCTCTAACTTGGCCTTTGCACTCCGAAACAGATTCCACAGTGTTGGAGTTGAGGGTGTGACAGAAAGCTAACCATGGTATCTGAATCGTCACAGGTTATAAATAGCCTGGCTACAACGAAACCAGCCCAACTGCTGTTTACGATGTAAATGATAGTAGATTGAATATGAAGTATGACACATCAAGATCCAGCAAGTGACTCAACCATAAGGAATTTTACAGTGTGGAGAACAGCATAACTTTCACTGAAGCACTGAAACTGCTTTGGAACCATGGATTCAGGGGCCTCAGGCTAGGCTGGGGTCTGCTGACTTCAGTTCCTCTTCACTGGCCAAACCTCTTCCAAGTCTGTTAAATGTTACTAGAAGGCATTAGGCTACAGTGCAATTGCACGGTGACAGCATTGCGCTGAGACTCACTTTAAAAAATGTATGACAAACAAAAACCATTGACTTAAGTTTAACAAGCTATACAACTCTACGCACAAGGCCTACTTTTAACAATGTACACTGAAAATATTATAAAAACACATTTACTGGAAGAACTGTGCAGATGCAAATCTCCCTTAGTTTTTAATGGTCTCCAAGTTTTCCAAAAAGTATGAAATATCTGCTCCGAATTCAAATTCAACGATGTCTGCAGAAAGAATAGTGGATTTACACCCGGTAACGGAACTGCGGTAACAGAATTTAAAATCATGGGTCCCTGATCTGTACTACACAGAAATGCATAACTATGGCTATGAATGTCATTGTCTTCATGGTGATACATCCTATGCTGGGCTCTACCTTGCGACCATTTTACTCGCATATGAGACTAAATATTTTTTTTATTAGGAGCACAATGAAGTATTATGTTTTGTTTGGGCGGCAGGTAGCTTAGTGGTTAAGAGCATTGTGCCAGTAACCGAAAGGTCGCTGGTTCTAATCCCTGAGTCGACTAGGTGAAAAAATATGTTGATGTGCCCTTGAGCAAGGCACTTAACCCTAATTGCTCCTGTAGGTCGCTCTGGATAAGAGCGTCTGCTAAATGACTAATTATTATAAGTATTCTAGAATTATTAGCACAAATATTTTTGCATTGTGCTCCTAATTTTGTTTGTGTGCTCCTATTTTTATTTTATTTTTTACTTCGGCACAAATGTGCTCCTTATCAAAAAAGGTCAGCGCATTCGTAGAGCCCAGTAAGTACACAAAATATATAAATATGCAATATCCTCCTTTACATATTTGGGTATTATTCTACACACTGGCTATTATTTTAATGCATCCAAACGAGACCAATCATAGACATCTATGTTTCACAAGTTTGGCCATCAAAGTACAGCATAGTATACTCAACTTGTGTGAACTACTGTGTACTGTACAGTAATGTACCGAATTACACTTTTCTTTAATGTACACTGTGCTGTACTCTACTTTTCTTTACTCTACTGTCTAAACTTGTGTACCGAACTATGGTTTGTGACTACTATAATTTCCTGTTGTAGCCAATTCAATTGCAGAAATTCCGTTAACGATTTTTTCAGAAATTCCCTTAACAATTTTAATCACTTAATAATTCATAAACAAAATTGATATCAGTAAAAACACTAACATTCATTGATAGGTCTAACTTCACTTGTTACATCTGTGAACTTTCAATATCCTCCCTCATGAAAGAGAACAATTAGAAGATACACTACATGCTCGTCGAACATCTCATTCCAAAATCATGGGCATTAATATGGCGTTGGTCCCCTCTTTGCTGCTATAACAGCCTCCACTCTTCTGGGAAGGCTTTCCACTAGATGTTGGAACATTGCTGCAGGAACTTGCTTCCATTCAGCCAGAAGAGCATTAGGGAGGTCGGGCACTGATGTTGGGTGATTAGGCCTGGCTCGCAGTCGGCATTCCAATTCATCCCAAAGGTGTTAGATGGGGTTGAGGTCAGGGCTCTGTGCAGGCCAGTCAAGTTCTTCCACACCGACCTCGACAAACCATTTATTTATGGAACTCTATTTGTGCACGGGGGCATTATCATACTGAAACAGGAATGGGCCTTCCCCAAACTGTTGCCACAAAGTTGGACACACAGAATCATCTAGAATGTCATTGTTTGTTGTATCAATAACATTTCCCTTCACTGGAACTAAGGGGCCAAGCCCAAACCATGAAAAACAACCCCAGCTCATTATTCCTCCTCCACCAAACTTTACAGTTGGCACTATGCATTCGGGCAGGGAGCGTTCTCCTGGCATCTGCCAAACCCAGTTTGCAAATACATGCTAGAACGTGCCAATAGGATCTAACTCGCGTGTGCTTGGCTCTGCCAACTCAGACTAATTTACTCCCATTGGAAACGACAGGCTGTGGTCCATCTTGGGTTAGTTAAACAAATATTTGGTTACTCCTTAGTCCAAGGACCTTACATGTTTTGTTTAAAGCGCAAATTTGCTCGAAAACAAAACAGCCAAATACTCCATCTAAACGTGAATCGATTGAAAATTGCGCTACGGTTCTAGAAACAATTCCCTTTACTTTCATATCAAAATCATTTCACAAACGCAAAATATACACTTACTGTACACTGTTTTAAAGGTACACAGTTGCAGCCGACAGTATTTTTCAGTGAATACACATTTGCGACGTGTGTTTCCTCACAGGTGTTCCGAGACGCAGACAGCTAACTAATTAGGACAGGTAGCGCTGTAACATGGAAATATAGCCGTGTGGGAACTTTAACCATATAAAGGAGAGTATCAATTTAACATTTAGTTTGGTTTTAGTTATTTCTACCCGATATGAAATATAAGGTCCTTATGCCTGCAAAACCGTACCCCACGCGATGCGTGTATATATAACGTTCAGACCGAGCGTCGCGGTTAACAAAATGTTCCCCTACAGAAGACTACCTCGTCCAATGACTTGTGTGTAATGTAACGGAAAGGAGAGTCAACAGCTACCTATCTGTGTGTAAGTAAATTCACTCTGGCTGTCTATTCCAATTTCAGAGCGCTCTCGTCTGAGTGTGCCAGAGTTCACAATAACTGATTAATTTATTAATATGACCGGTGTCCGTAATCGTCTGCAAAAAAACGTTATTAAATTGTTGCCAGCAGCACAGTCACCAACGCTCTAGATAACATGAAACGAGCCAACCAGCTCTGCCAGGGCGAGAAATTGTCAGAGGGAGGTGTTCTCTTATTTATGTCTGGAAGTAGCTAGCAAGCTAGCTAACTTTAGCCAGTTAGCTTGGGTGCTCTCCTGCCGTTGTAAGGTCAGAATACTCGGATCAACCCTACTCCTAGGCCAGAGCGTCCGAGCAGAACGGTCTGAATTTATGAACAGACAATCTGACAATGTTCTGCAATTTACGAACACACCCAGTGGATGCGAAGACGTAACAATTGTATCCACATTATCATCGGGGTCAACATCTATATTCATGTAGCTAACACGCGGGGTTCAACCACTGACGTACCCACCATTACAATCGAATATTTAAATAGCTCTCAGATCTTACAAATCAAGACGATATAGCCTAGCTCACGTTAGCTTAGTAACAAAGCTAGCTAAACTCAACTCCGTCATAAGGTAACGTTAGCTATCCATTACAGGGATCTAACTCTACAGCTAAGCTAGCTAGTTACTGTACTTACCATTGGTTATTGAGAGAGACCAGAGGAGAACGAGTGCAAAGCCCACGTTCATGATGAATAATGATTATTTTACAAGGAATCCAACGGTACGTTTTCCCAAGACGCCTTCACATATCGTTCACCTTCCCACTCCCAGCTTCTTCAGTTGCTATGGCCAGTTGACGTGATGACATCACGGGATTGACAATCCAATATGGTTGCCAACGCAACGCCATATTTGGACACGTATGTATGACGTCAGAACTCAGTAGCTTTACTCTCATTGGTCTTAACGATTTGTTTACATTTTTGTGCAAATCTGAATGCGAGGTCTATTCACAAAACGATCAGCTGGAAATTGTTTAGCTATCGCTAGCTATTTATAGCTAGCTTGTTAGATGGGTGATGCATATTTAGGGTGTTAACTGGGCAAAGAGTGTTAGAAGTGGTTGTCCTTTAATCCCACTTGGCCTATCAGAGGTCAACATGGAGCTACCAGCATATTGTGTCCACCTTTCCAATACTTCCAGATCTACACAACAAGTTTCTAAGGGCTACAGGTTTATTTGGGTTTCAGGGATTAGTGCCAATGGCTCTGAGTCCAGGCCTAGATCAACACTGCATTTATATGGTCTAATGGCCAACACCATAATAACTGGAGACTATCCCCAAGCCATAAAACTGCTGAACAATTAATCCAGGAAAATCTGGAATGTGTTGGAGGAAAGTGTGGAGTTGGTGAGAGGTGGTCTTATTTAGATTTGTTGTGTGCGGAGCAGAAGAACCGTGTTTTAAGACTCAAAAAGATATCAGAGTGGAATGTTTCCTGCATGGATTTTTGTAGTAGGGCGGCTATCAAGGGTGGCGCAAGAAATAAAGGCAGAGGATATAACTGAAGACATTGATGGAGTGGTTGGTGCACGTCGACTGACCTGTATGGTGGACGGAGAAAATAAATTCACTTCATCCATGCTACTGTTCTTTGATGAAGAGTCTCTCCCTTCTCATATAAAGTTAGGATTCATGAGATACCCTGTAAGAGCTTTTGTGCACAAGCCCCTTCAGTGTCATAAATGTAAAAGAGTTGGTCACATGTGTGCAGAAGGGAAGAATACCGTATGCCAGATGAAGGGAAATGTTGCAACTGTGGAGGTGAACATGCGCCTGAATTCTTGGAGTGCCCTGTTAGGGTGAAGGAGAATGAGGTGGCAAGGGTAAGGAGTGTCCAGCGTGTCTACTATCTGGAGGCGGTGAGAAGATTGGAAGGAATGAGTGGCGGGGAAGAAGCAATGGTAGTAGAGCCACCACGACCACTGGAGGTTTCTCATCAACCCAGGGATAGTGAAATGCTACATGTTAAAAATGTGGACTTTGTATTATTTATTGCAATGGTCATAAACTGTACAGCACAAGCGGAGAAGAATTCTACGAAAATTGGAATCATTGTGAAAGCCGCTGAACGTTTTTTGGTTCTTCGTGATTTCACAGCCGAGGCAGTGCAAGAAATCTTGTCGGTGAATGTACCCCCATCACAGGCCCCTGAGCCTGTGTAGGGATGTATTTTGGAGTGGACTGTGATTGAAGAAGTGTGATGGGTTTTCTTAGTTTACGTGTTTTATTTTGTATGATGTCGTTGTGATGTAATTGTAATTGTACTTTTTAGGATGATATTAACATTCTGAATTCAACATGTGTTTACTAGCTAGCTAAGGTACTGTATGTGTGAACGATGGCTAGCTCCTATACTGAGCCCAGTTCAATTCAACATGTGGTTACTAGCTAGCTAAGGTACTGTATGTGCGAACGATGGAAAGCTCCTCAACTGATCCCAGTCCTTTGTATTGTGCGTCTATGTTGTAGAAAGAGGCGACAATTGGCACAACATATTTGTGATCTACAAATTGTTAGAAATTGCGTAATTCAAATCTGGTATTGGAATAAGAATCAAGAGATCTTCAATCCAAGCTAAATTTATTATATGCAAAATGTATGTATGATAAGTATGAAGGTTCATATATACGGGTCCACTGAAATACCACGCAGGGCACTCAGAAAACGAATCCATTGTTACAGGTTCTTCTTCAAATACTCTGACAGAGATATTTCCCACTCCCTGCTGGCCAATCAGAGTAGAGACTGAGCGTGGTTTAGACTTACTCAGCCAATCCGTTGGCGCACCGGCTGGTCCCAGCCTCTTGGCGCTCCACCTGTTGCACACTGTTGCCAGGCATACGTTTTTATCATAACAACCTGTGGAGTTAGCACCCAAAAGACCACCATTCCACTGTACTGTGAGTACCTAGTTCAAGGACGGTTCACAGACAACAAAGAGGCAGTGTTCGTATCTGTTAGAAATACAAGTCTTATCTGTCCTACACCCTAACGTTCCTCACATGAATCACAGCCTGTTATGTGAAACAATTTATATCAGTATAGTACAAACCTATGCTTATCATTAATGCATTCCTTCTAAGCTATTCATCACATACAGATCCAATTATGAGAAAATAGAACCCCACAATCCCCCTTTTCACACCCACTGGGTGTGAACCCAAAATATTTTAAAGGGGAAAATGTAGGATTCCCTCTTGACACCATTTATGGTGTCACTCCAAATAACATAGTTGAACAACACATAAGTAAGCATGAGGATAACAGCATAACAAAAATTGATTCACACTAACATTTTATTATAAAAGAAAATAAATGTTAAAAACCTTCCATCCTCCCCTACACCTAACATGTACTGAGTTGGCTACCAGCCACCCAGGAATCCTTTACCTTCACATCAGGAGGAATAAACAATCACAATGGTTAACTTGATTAATAAAGCATAAAACACAGGATTAATAGAACACAAAACACAAGATTATTAAAACATAAAACACAAACAGGGAAGTAAATTTTGGCCCCCTTTAGACACCCTCTAGGGTGTCACTCCACCAAGCCTGGTAGGTCATATCCTTCATTCCTTAGGTCGGAGTCCGGGATTGGGCCGTATCTCACCATCTGTTGGGAAACCACCTTTTCCATCTCCTTTCTCACCAAACCTCAGACACAGGAAATAAGACAACATCCACAAAGAACAAGTATACCCATAGAAGCTATAACTTCACACAGAATAGTTACAACAATAGTTTTCCATTTACCAAATATGTTATCAAACCAACCGTTTAGGGAACTATCAATACCAGAGTTCTCAGCCAGTTCGTTCGCCAGCGTGGTCACTCCCTGAAGCGCTTTGGTCACGGACCCGTCCGGTGCTGTGTTGTTGGAGATGAAAGTACAGCACATAGATCCAAACAGAACACAAACCCCGTCCCGCTCAGCCAAAAGCATATCTAAAGCTATTCTATTCTGCCATGTCATTAAGCTAGTTGCCGCTGTCTGCTCAGCTAATCCCTTTATTGCATCACGAGTGTGGTTTATAAATCTTTGCTGGTTATAGTAAATATAATTTATCCAATCTACGTTTTTATTAATTGTTGACCACCAGAAAATACTTGATTCAAACCCAGCTGCGATCTGATTCCTAGCTTTGAATTCTTCTGGAACCCCTCGAGGTACTCCTATCCCATCAATATATATCCTTTCATCAAAGGATCCCGGGAGGAGGTCCCACTTTCTACGTGACAACTCACCAGTCTCTGACACGTTTGATTGTTTGCGAATGTAGGTGAGTTCACAATCTGTTATCACCACACAACCATCAGATGTCAGCACGGGCCTGGTTTTGGTTCCTAAAATCCTCTGGCTGCAACAAAGAGGAGAGATTAGTCATTGTCTCTTTAGTTGTGACATTCTCTGTGTGGGAGCAGGAGCGAAGATGTCCTACCCTGTATCCTATCTTACTAGTCCTAGAAAAACAATAAGAATCCCGTGTGACTTCAAACGGAGGCAACCTAGGTCGGGGTGACTTTGTTATCAGGGGATACAGATAGTGCAAGTTACTACAAGACTCTTTCACCACATTCCCAGGTGGCTTGCATGGAGGATAAACCTGACAGAGAGTCAAAGCCTGTTAAGGGGAACGGAGTAGCTGTTAACCTTGGTTTGGCTGTCCCACAGGCATAACAGTCCTCTTTAGACATAGTTCTTGCCGTATACTGAATCCATTCCAACCACAGGTCAAGATTTCTACACCCCGTCTCCACCTGTACTACTTCCTTCAGGTCTATAGTTTGCACTATCTTCACCACAGCCCCGGTCTCACTACCTCCCTCAAAGAGGTTTACTCTATAGGGTGCCCCAGTTAAAGAGGATATCTCACTTGTTCAGGTCTGTAAACTGTTTTAGCGTAATTCAGACTTTCAGACAGTACCTACCCTTATATGGGTCGCACTGCCATTTTCTGGTAATTCCCTACTTTCACAATACTACACCTGTCCCTAAACTGTGTATGGAGATTGACATATCCCCCCCCCGCTCGGTATGAGCAACTACATAGTCCCAGGATGCACATGGTGACATACATATGGTGATGTCCTTCCCTAAAGTCCCTAGTACTTCCCCTTTCCCTACGTCTAGCTGTCTCCTATGCCTTCGTAGACTGTGCTCAGGTATTATTTTATCAACTTGTGTTAGGTTAACTACTACTTCTGGCTGATCAGGAGGGTTTGAGTGTGCTAGGAATATGGCCCCCACAATCAGACAGCTACCTACCGTCGGGAGACCTGTGAATCCCCACCCTCGCCCTGAGAACATGTCAGACGCCAGAGGCCAACCCATTGCTTTACCTTCTATCGAACTCACACAGGGATGATCAGACAGGGTAAGGGAATCTTCGTTAAGGAGCCAACCCAGAGCCCTAGTGGTGATCGGTTCTTTCTCCTAACTCTGTGTTTTGTTTCGTCAGGTGTAACTGGGTTTACCTTTTTGCCGTGTGTGACATGCACCCAGGTGGATCTAATAGGACTTGGTAGGGCCCTTCCCAACAGGCCTGCTTCCAGTTTTTCTTCTTTTAGGGACTGGATCCACACCCAGTCTCCTGGTTAGATAGAGTGGGTCACCTTCTCCTTTAGTTCACCTGTGGGGCACAAAACCTCTGACATACGGGTGTGGTTAATAAACTATCTTCACACATACATGTTCAGCTCTCAATTTCTGTTCTTGTTGTTTTTTTTGTTTTTTTAAAAGTATTTTGTCCTCTCCTTCGTATATATTTATTATTTAATCCTACCACTCCCCTTTTGACACA